AAAACACCTTGTGAATTGCCTAATGGTTCGACATTTGCGGCCGATGGCCGAATACCGGAAACCAGGCCGAACCTTCGGTCGGGCACTAGTTCGCACTTATAAGTACTTTTGGTAAATGCTGCTCGATGAATAAAAGTTAATTTTTTTCTCGTACATATGTTGTTTAACAAATTTTCTTTTAAATAAATATGCACACAAGAATAACAGTTAGCGTAGTCGTGTTTTGTACATACATATGTTAAATGATTCTCCCTACGAATTAAAGCTTGCTATAAATGTAGACTTTTGGCCGTCTACGCAAGTTTTCAGTACTCAGAACATCATGAGAGTTAAACTTCATCTACGACTATCTACATACATAGTATTAATAGTTTAAATAATTTATATTGAAGCACTTAACGGGGAAAAAGTTTTAGTAATTCGACCTAACCCAAATTGAAAATAAAATAAGGAACAAAATAAAAAAAAAAAGAACACAGTTCTCTAAGCGTTACGAACATTGATTTACAAAATGTTTTTCATTGTTCAGCCATCAAGTTTAAATGAGATAAAAAAATATGCTTTTCCGTTCAATGTAATAATGTAAATAAAAAAGATCTTCGTAGCAACTTATTCTACGAAAGGCCCCGGCGAGATTCGAACTCACGATCTCCTGTTTACTAGACAGGCGCTTTAACCAACTAAGCCACGGCGCCACGGTGACGACCACTAGCTGAAGTATCAAGCATGTTTGCGCATGAGCCTAAAAAGAATATACACAAATGTGAAACATAAATAAGTAAATAGGACGGAAATGAAATGTAGAAACTACCGAGATATTTAAAACTTAAATTCACTATATGTATACGAAAATATGTGAGCAAATATGTGCTAAAAATGTGATACAAAATTAGAAAACTCTAAATATGATAAGAATTGGCATGCATTGATTTTTATTTGCTATCAATCGATAGGCAAGACAATTTTGTTGTTGGCAAGAATGGGTGTACAGACCTGTTTCGGTATCTAATATCCCTTACCTCGGGTGGGAGGTGATACAAGACAGACAACAAGTTTGTTCTGTACAAATGAGAATCTAATTTAATTCTGACAAGATTTAAGTTTTACAGCTCCTTATATACTAAATCTTAGGTTTAAAATGAAGATTGTATATGTAAGTTATCACATGTGACTCAAGGCCAACAATAATAAGCGACATCCGCAAATCTCCTGAATCTGCAACATAACACCAGCCTGCAAATGCAGGGCAGCTGCATATCAAAAGCCAGCTTTGTAGCTCTAGCGTGGGAGTGAATTTGTATTATGCTGTCATAATGGTCACATATGGCTCAAGGCCAATAGTATTGAGCAACAGTCACAAATTCCCCGAATCTGCAACATAACACCAGCTTGCAGGTGCAGGGCAGTTACATAGCGAAGACCAGCTATCTAGCGTGGGAGTGAATTTATGTTATGCTCCACGCTATCATCACACTTAGCGCAGTCAGCGGCGTTCCCACCGACGATGGTCGCGACTGCAGCTTATTTATTTGTAAGTGTATTTGTAGAATTAGATTTCGATTTAAAGTAGAGTAAAATAGTTTTTCAGTTTAGTTTAGTTTGATAACTCATCCCGACTCGTGTAATGAGCGGGCAATAAATTGTGTTGAAGTCAACCAACGTGTTTATTTATTTAAAGAAGGAGGTTCCAGCAAAGCTTCATAAATCTGCTTAGATATTCCACTTGTTCGACTACCAGCACAGCATCATAAACTTGGTTAGATATTCCACTTGTTCACCACGCAAAGAAGGAGGTACCAGTGGATTTTCGTAATTTGTATTCGATATTGCTGCATTGTTGCACTTACATATGTACATACATATATGTGTACCTTTCCTGCTGAGATAAGGAATGCAGCTCATGTCATTTCATGTTTGCTGTTTAGAGTAGTTTTATCTCCTACAATTAATAGGGCTATTCGCGATTCGGTGCATAAGAGCTGACAAATTTATGCAATTGCAGAAATATGCCATGGATTGTGAGCGACCTTTATTAAACTGGCATGGTAAAGCTTTTGCAAAACAATTTTTGTGCATCAGCTTTGGTTTTGTTTATGAATGCAATGCATAGCATTTTTATGCTATGGATTTTCGGTATTGCAAATTTGCCAAGCCATGACAAATGCAAATGCGTGTATTTTGTTTGTGTATTGCAAATAATTTGCAATACAAATTTGCAATGCAATGATGCTAGGTCATTTGCACCGGATCGCGAATAGCCCTAATGTATTTATTTTGGTACGTGCATATGTATGTCTATATGTATGTATGTGCACATGAATGGACTATGTTTACATGTGGATTTGTATTTACATATATTAGCCTGTTCAAATATATTTTGAACAATGGGTAAAAATAGTAAAATTATGTTGAGCCTCGCCAAATGAATTTGATACATTTATTGATGCCCAAAATATTTTTTATTACTATTTCAATGATATTTAGCTATGTAACATAGAATTCATTATAATCTGCAAATTAATTTTATGTCGCCTATATACCTATTTATATACAATGAGAAGTTTATGAGTGCCTAGTAGTATTGCCACTTCAAGCATGTACTTTAGGATGCATCAGGCTTCCACATAAATAATTCGGATAAATATTAACATTAACGTGAGCTGGACCGAAATATACTCTAAAATTTTTTTTTGAAAAAAAAAACATTTTAAAAGATAGAAGAGTTTAAACATAAAAGGTCTGCACAAAAATGTTTAAAAATTATATCAACGGAATCAAAGTAATACGATTTTGTTATATTTTGTTGGAAGTCTTAAATTATAATAAATTTTATATTCATATATAAATATGAGGCACCCTAATGTACATAACTAAATAGTACATCAATTAACATTCCAGGCAGTGTCGCTAGCTATCTTTGGGGCCCTCTCCAATATCGCTGAAAAACCTCAGATTTTTTATAAAATTCGGCGCTCAAAATTGGTTCCAAAATAAATTTAGGTATATATATTACTTTCTTCTTCTTCTTCTATGCAAAACAGCAATGCATGGCGGAATCACCAGTATTCGAGAGCTCCGGCCAAAACGGCGATAAATTCCATCGAGGTAGGCGCTTTCGGAGGAGTGGATGTACATGGATTTGGTCCCCTCGATCAATTTGGCCAAGGTCAGGAAAAATCCTGAACGCACCTGGACCTTTTTAAGCGGCTACCTACCTTCCGCCGAACCCTCCATGCAGCAGGAAAGGCTCAAATATTGCAATCCAAATCTTCTGGAGGGTTATTAGGAAGGTCATCAGGCTCCAGAGGACCGAGGAACGCTATTGTCAAGCTCTGAGTTTCTCGGTCCTATCGCCGATATCAAAATAGTTATCAACTATGGATTCAAAATGGCAGCCCTCAAAGTTTTCGAATGCGTGGTCAAAGGGGAAGGCCTTTCGCCACCGGAGGCGGCGAGAAAAAGCCCATATTTTTTTACAACAACTACAATAGATAAAATTAGGGGGAAAGAGATCCTCATGACCGTGGAGGTGGACTTGCCCTGTTCTTATTGTAGCGGCATTACTGTTGACAAGCTCACCTAACGGTAGGCTGTTTCAATAGGGTCGGACCAAAGGGAGAAGGGTGTTAGCTCAGTGGGATTAAGCTGGCATGTGAAAAGGTGTCAGGGGTCATACGGGGAGTCTCCACATGCCGGACACTCATTACGGATATTGGGGCCGAGTCTGGACGAGTAGCTGTTTTTTTTTTCTAGTATCCAGCTCGTAACTGGGCCAGGGTAACGCGGGTCTCTCTTGGCAGTTGAAGCTCCGTCTCTGCTTCGCTGTATAGGTGGTTCTCAGGCAACATCCGAAGGCACCCTGTCACTGTCCGAAGTGCTGTCATTCCCACGACAGCCGGTTCTACGTACCGGAATGACGCGGGTTTTACCCGATCAAGGGCTGTTGTTTCGGCCACCAAACCCCCTTTAGATCGGTGATACCCATCAATCATTTTACGTGGACTTTCCCTCGGACCTATCGCTATCGACTTATATTTTTAAAATAGAGACTCTCAGGGTATTTTTTGGTATGCCTTCTGCATAGGCCCAATTTCCGTTGACTCACATTATCTTATTGCTTTTGTTTGCTTTTTGTTATAATTGCTCTTGGTGACTGGGAAGCACACCGATACGAGCAGACCAACAACAAATCGAGTGGTTTACATCGTCTTAAATAAAATGCGACAGTAGGCGCCTTTGCTGCCGGCAGCACTTTGGGCGGCCCAGTGGTGACGGGCACTTTTGCGCAGGCAAGTGCGTAAGTGATAAAATAAAAAATATTGTATTTTAATACTCAGTGTAAGAACTTATATATTTTGCATAATAGCAACGGCCATGGCTTATCGGTACAACGCGCGCATACGCCCGGCATTGGCAGCACCTTATCTGCTGGTGCTCATGCCAATCTCTTTAAGAATGATACGCATGCCGTCAGCGCTACTGCTATGCACTCTCGAACACAATTGCAAAATGATTTGAAATTCGATCGTTCCAGCATCGGTGTGGGCTATAATCACGCACAGGGCCATGCCGCCGCAGTGACCGCTTCTCGGATACCACAATTCAATATGACTACCATCGATGCGACTGCTAAGGCAAATTTGTGGGCCTCGCCGGGTCGTGCGACCACATTGGATATGACTGGCAATGCCACGCATCACTTGAGCGGACCATTGGCTGGAAAGAATAATTTTGGTGGCGCTTTGGGGTTTACGCATCGCTTTTGAATGCCAAGCTCTTTGACCTTGAAATGTTTGCGAATTTTAAATGATCTGTGGTGGGGCAGTGGTCACGATTCTGGGCTTTTTCATACAATATTTGAAATTAGATTTTTTTTTGTAATGGGTTTTAAGAGGGTTGCCACCTGTTGAAAAATGTAATCCTATAAGTACAATAAAGTTTTACAATATGGATGTCAATCGAAAGAGTTATAAGAAAGCTTTGTTTCGAAATAATTTTTAAACCGGGTTGCCACCTGTTAAAAGGTTAAATTAAATTTAATCAATAAATAGAATGCAACATTTCAAAAAGATCTCGAGTCAAACAAAAAATTTTTATTTAGAAATTGTTTTCAAAGATATGTAGCACCTGTCTATATGTGTAACAGAATTTAATCTGTTACTTGAAAAAAGCTTTATTGCGTAAACAGTTTTGAAGAGCGTGTCACTTGTTTAAAAAATAAAATTAAACTAAATGAACATTTGCAAAATAGACAGCAACGATAAATAAAATATAAGAAGGAAATGAAAAGTGTTGTTTTTTCAGGAGCCGAAAACAACGGTTATTTTTTTCGATGTTATGAAAGTCTGAGGCAAAATATTGTTGTAGAAAAAAGTTATCAATGTTGCTTTAATCTTCGGACCTCCTAGACCAGAATCCTCTATTATTTTTATTTTTCGAAATTTTTAGGAGTCTAATAATAACTGGAAAATATTGACTTTTATTTTTTCCGTCCAGTAATAGCAGTTAAACTTGTCCAAATATTTTTTTAAGGTCGAAATAAAAGTCCTTTCCTAATATTAAACATACCCTTATCCCAATTAAAAAAAATGGGTATCAAATGAAAGAGGACAGAAATATCTAAAGGAAGATTCAATACAAAAATTGTAGTGGTAATTAAACAACATTGAAATATTTTTCTATAAGTGCCATTCCTTGTTTGGAAATCTCAGCTTGAAAGCTATATATTTTAGTCCGCTTTCATTTGATACACAATTTGTTTAATTTTGTTTATTATTAGAAAAGGACTTTTATTCCGGCCATAAAAAATACTTAGCCAAGTTGAACTGTTATTACTGGACTAAAAAAATAAACGTCCGGATTGAACGATTATTTTATTTCAATTAAAATAAAAGTACAAAAATTTAGACTTTGTTGCTTTTTCAATTTTTCAATTTTTCCTAATAAACAATCGTGGTACAAAGCTCAATAAAAATATTAAAAATAACTTTTTTCTAACGATTTTTATTATTAAAATTATAAAAGTCCGGGTTCCTGTTTTTTTTAGTCAGACGCTTTTTGTAAGTATGGCCAATTAATGGAAATTCGTCTTGTTGTATAACTTCCAGACAATAAGGACTATCAGCCTTTTTCTAATTTTGACATACTTAAACCCAAGTTACATATTCATTCTTACCATAGTTTTTAGTAGATTTTGTCTGAAATACTTAATATTTACATCTAAACGTATGTAAAAGTCTAGACTTAACTTAATTTAACGTACCATAAGAAATCATCAATGATCGCCCAGAAGCGGAAATGTTTTGTTTTGAAGTGAAACTTTTTTAGCGGCGGTTGGTTGGTTGGGAGTAAACTGGCAAATTTAACGGAAATTGCACACGGATATAGTACAACGGAAATGGTTGGGACGGAAAAAATTGCTTCTTGAAAGTATGTTATTAATTTAACCAAAACTGGTTAATAAAAGGTTAAAGAATAACACTGAGAAAAAGACCAAGACAAGACTGAAAGTAAAGGTGAGTACGTGCATAGATAAATAAAGGATAAAGACAAAGGCAAAAATAAAAACAAAAACAAAAAAATGCGTAAAGATAAAAGCAAAAATTAAGACCAAAAGCAACTTTATACACTTTATATGTAAATGAAGAAAATTATAAACATAAAAGTAAAAAAGTAAAAACAAAGGTAAATATAAAGAAAAAGATGAGGATACCGATAAAAGTAAAGATGAAGATAGAGGAAGAAAATTAAAATAAAGGTAATTATAGAGAAAATGGTATAGATAGAGACTTAATTGGGGAACTATTTTGGGATTTTAGAGATTTCGGCAATAATCGACATTTTTATCGGTGTTGTTATCGATATTTTTATCGATTTTTCTACCATTATTATCGATGTTTCTATCGAAATTTTTATCGAATTTGTCATCGATTTTGTTATCGATATTTTATCGATTATTTATCGATTTTATTTTCGATTATTTATCGATTTTGTTACTGATTTTGTTATCAGTATTTTTATCGAATTTGTTATCAATATTTTTATCGATTTTGTTGTCGATGTTTTTATCGATTTCGCTACCAATATGATTGTCGATTTTGCTATCGAAATTTTTATCGAATATGTCATCGATTTTGTTATCGATATTTTTATCTGTTTTGTAATGATAAGTTTCACTTCTCCAGTGTAGCCCAGGAGCACTTACTTTTTTGTTTGTATTTTCTGTTTGACAGTTTGCCGTCTAAAATGTCACATCAAAAACAAATCATGCAAAAAAATATGTTTGCATTCATTTATTTTCGAGAGATACAAAAAAGAAAACCTGGCAAGCCTGATTCTTTCACCGCTACCTATTTCCGTATGGCCGTAACTTAAGAATCTAAAATCTACAGGTTCTTAAGTTGCATACGATAAGTTAAGTTTTAACTATTAAGTTAAGTTAAGTTACGTAAATTAAGTCTAGACTAACTGAGCTTTAAGTATTGCTATATGCATACCAGCAATCATAAAAAAAAATATTTGCATAACAAAGCAATTTACACACTAATAAACGTTTAGACTTGTCATGGATGCAGGGATAAGAAAAATTGCGAATAAAAATAAACCACCAAAGTTCACAGTTTCCGCCAAAGATAACCACCAGAGAAAATTGTCCGACACGACAAGTTGATTATGACCATAATTACATGACATAAAGACGCGATTATCTGCGACCAAAGAAAAAGTATAAAGGAAAGAAATTTGCATAAGAACTATAAGAGGCAATACTTAAGACGTGCACGACAGAGAAAAACAACGCAGATTTAAATACTGCGAATGTGTAGTATATGTAGGTATGAAAGAAGGCAAGGGATGGGCAAGAAGGATGTAAGGAATGGATTTGCGCTTTTTGAGCCTAAATATCAACAAAATTTCTTCAGCTATTGAGTTGTATTGAAAGGACGCACTTTTATTTAACTGTAAAGTATGCGCGCACCTCTCGACTGCATTTGCTACTTTTCAGCTGAGTTCTGTAAAGGAATGTAAGCAATAACGTGCGTAGTATGTGTAAATACAGTGAAACCTCTCCTAACGGACACCTCTATTAGACGGACAACTCCGTTGGGCGGACATTTTTTCCTATACCAAGTTTTAAGTATAAATTTCGGAACAAATTACTCTCTCTTAAGCGGACACTCTCTTAGCCGGACGCGGACAGTTATTTTGCATAAAATTGACACAAAAAACTCTATTGAGCGGACGCGAACCTCTTATCAACGGACATTAAGATTTCTTTTCATAACAAATCAAACATAAACCTCCGTTGAGCGGACGCGAACTCCTCATAAGCGGACTACTAAATGGAAAAAGGGGACTTCCCGCATAAAATGTGATTGTGTTGCACACATTTAGTTTCGTTTGCGCAGTGGTTCGTTATTTGAATTATCAGCAACCCTTGGAGAAGCCAATTCCAATTCTGGTGAATTTATAACAATAGATAGTAATAAATACATGGACCGAAAATTTAGATTTCGGGTTGGATTTTGTTACTGATAAAAACATGAAAACTATTGATGAAAAAGGTACTGACACTGAAAAAAATTAAAAATAAAACTTACGTCAATCGACAATTTTCCGGTTTTTTATGTAATGAATATATGGTTTTATGTAGTTTATGGACTGAAAGGTAATATTTATTTTTATTTTGTTATTACTTAATATGTACTTACGCACATAAATGAAATATGCACTTTTGAGTTGGACTCCTTTGGAAAAATACATGCACATTTTTGTTTGAGCGATGTAATATCAATATCTTCTATTCAAATAAGAAATAGTGACTATTCAATTAATTAAAACATTAAAAAGTTCTAAAATAAGCTTCCCTTCCATTGAGCGGACACCTCTCTTGTGCGGACAAAAAATTACTGACGGTGAGTGTCCGCCCAAGGGAGGTTTCACTGTATATTAAACAAGCGGCTGAATGATTTGTATTAAAAAGCAGGGTACGAAAATAAACTGTACAAAACAATTCCCATTTGCTCATCGATCATCATATCATTTGTGGTTTTGTACAGTTTTGTACATAGTCAGAAACAAATTGTAAGATTCACTGTCATTTTCCCCAACGAGAAACGTTTGCATTTCGTTTGTGACAATTGTACCATATGGTACGTTTTATATGTATGCGAACGTTTCAATTACGTGACAAATATTTGTTTCTGTAAATTTTCATATCCAATTCGATTAAAAAACATTTTTATTTTTTTATTTCATTGCAGCCATTCGTTTTGTATTTAGTTATTGCATATATGTACATACATACATATATTTTTTTCTGCACGATTCATTTCGTTTGTTGTTTCGTAT